ACTTCCGTGATACGCAGTCATTATATATTTGGGAGCATTACCCTGAAGCGGGGATAGGAGAGGGATGTAAGGGAACTTAATGCGAGTCTGCTGCATTCATTCTAATGTGCTCTTAACCCGCTCACAGTCATTACACCAATCTAAAGAGAAACTATCAGCAAGAAGGTCAGCAACGTCGATAAGGAGCCCGTGGTGTCCTTAGCCACACACAAAAAGAATCAAGCGATCGTCCTGTCTCTCATGGCAGAGAATAGCATGGCTGTAATTGTTAACAACCCAACCTATATCACACAATTGTAGAAAAAACTGCAAGCAATTTTGTACTTAATTTTCAATATCACATTAACCGTTTTTATCAAATTCACCTGGTTTTTACCCTCCCTGATCAAACTTCCCCTATTATTCCCCAATTCCACCAGCTTCTCTGAGCTTGAAATCAATAGTGATTATAATTTTTTCGACCTTTCCAAAGCTTTTGATGTAATACCATACTAACGTGTTGTAAAGGCTACATGGCTCAGTGGTATCGAAAATCTTTCCTCCTCGTCCAGTTCTTTTATTCTTGATTGCTGTCTTCTAGTACCAATAACTCTGGAATCCCAGGACAATTGGAATCTCCCTTGGATTAACAAAAGCCCTAACGCTACCCATTGTAGTTTGTAGCATATTTCGGGCGTTTTTACTGAAAGATACTTTAAACTTCCTGCTTAGTAACTACCTGGAAGAGTGGTTTGGTGATCAGTCGTTCTTTGCCTGCTTTGAGTTATCTCATCTCAACCATTTTCCAATAAACTCAGAATGAATCTCCGCATAGTCTCGCAGAACTAGTTGTGCTCTCTGTATTCTGATTGTCTCATTCAAATGCGCTAATGAAGAGTGTAACGATCTTAACAACTGAATATCTTTCAGCCTGCGTCAACCTTTATCCATCAAGCAGCAGCAAAAACAAAGCAGTGTATTTTTAGTGTTGTGCCTCTTACTCTGTTTGTTATCAAAGTTTTATGGCTACATGCTCGTGGGTTGCGTGTCATGTCCTACAGTATTAAGATACATTCGATCTCCTATGACCCAAGAAGAGGGAAATTAGTCACTAATATTTAGCAAAGGACCAATAAGACCATTCCATTATTTTGCGGTCTCCTGAGCCTTAGTCCGAACCAAACGCTGCTCCCACCATAGGTTTACATGGACCAAGAGGCTTTTTATAAAATAAATCCGATTTTCACTTTCCACGTGGTATAAAAATCCTCTGTATGGTCATTCTCATGAGCTCCGCTTCTAGCAGTTCAAAGTCAATTCGGGCAGATATTTTTTCGAGGCAGTTGCCTTCTTGTGGAATGAGCCCTCACACATTAGTATTTTCCACGCACTTGACAGCTAAGCCACCTTGTTTCACCATTTCCCCCTCAATTTGGATTGTCATATAATCACAGTAATCATTTCCTTTCTTAGATGTGCATGATTAGGCATTGAAACGTTGTACACGCTACTATGATCCTCGTAACTATTACCGTAGGTTAGGAAACCTCGTCACTTAATGTTTATCTCTATACGTGAATCTAAGCAAACATATCAACAAACATTCTTAATCTGTCAGCATCCTATGTTTCACTGTTTATTGAGATCATCAAATCTGTTGGATTATATACTAATTACTAGCAGTCCCCTGAGGGGTACTTAAACGTGAGTGAAGTTATGAGGAGTTGTTACTTTTCATATCAATGCAGAGAGAACTGCCGCATCTTCAAAACATCGTCCAATGTTGTCGCTCATTTCACACTCCTGTGTCTTATCAGCAGCCAAGATGCCTAAATTCTGTAGCCAGTTTCTCTCACTTCTGGGAGTTAAACCTGAGTTTTAACGCCCGAATTATTATAGATCATCTCTCTGCAAAACATTCATGTGGGTCATCATGTCCCTAAACAACAAAATTGGGGTCATTTTAGAGCTCCTTCCACGCAAATTGCGGTCACGCAAGATGAACGAAACCTCATTACCCTCACTGCTAACCAGCTCAAATGAACTGTCACCTTTCACTGGTTAAGTCACCAAAACAGTTACAAGTGTGCATACTATGGTTCACAATCACAATTTGAACATGTTTAACTCTCTCGTGAATGAAGCACACCAACTAATAGTATGCATGCTAAATCACTTCCAACTTCAACCGGAAAGCCAAATTCAGGCATGACTTCAAAATACTGTATTGAATTGTGCGGGCCTGAAGCTCCAGTTTTAATAGAGGGCCAATCAAACATGGGCATCCAAGTTTCTTTGACCTTTGTGACTGCAGTCACTATAAGTTTAAATAATATTAAGGTTCCTGAAGTCCGAGAAGATAATTATGTAGCCTTTGAGACCGTTTTACCGTGCTTGTATTTGTCTGTTCATTGATCACAGAAATTTGGAGTCAAATTTCTTGCATCACAAGAATGCATCCTATTAGAAAAATGCAATCGAGACCACAAAATAGCCCAAGTACGATACGCCTGCGCTGTACTGGCCAGTATTTGTAAAATCATCATATGATTGTTTGAATAAAGTGCTACCTATGAAGACATTGGATACAACACAACAAAATAAACAATGTATTCAGATGAATTCTTAGGGCTTTTGTCCACTGCTTAGTAAGTAACATCCTTTTATTGCGCCCGTTGAAGTAAACAGGTGACAAGTTTTGGTTTCTATAATGACCGACAATTTTGCTGGGATAGGATGTCCTTATTGTAATATCCAGCGTCAACGATTAAGGTTTGCAAGTCGACTGTTAGGTAAAACGGCTGGCAGCATATGTGTGCACTTTTCCATCTGTGTGACTTGGTTTGACCACTGACGCAAATAAGGATGTGCGAGCAGCGCTAAATACGGTATTAGTTTAAGATACCGATAGAGGAAGATAAGATGAAGCCAAGCCATGTCACGAAACTCTGTTTATCAGGTGTTTGATCAATGAAATAGTCCTTCCGTTCCGTCCCAATGCATGTTTGTGATAAATTATCTTGTTTTCTATTCCAGTTCATATATCCAGATGGGAGCAAACAAAAGTTACTTAGTGGGGTATCTTGACGGACACGTATGTTCACGCAAGTCACCATCATCAAGGATAGCAACATCAGTGGTTACACTGATGCTTCATTGACGCAAAACCACAAGGTTCGTCTAATTATATATATATATAGCGTCCCCAGCCAAGCACAGACGGGGTCATGGAGACCCCATCCTGGAAGGCGTACAACACCAACAACACCCAAACTCTTCGTGATCTCTTTCACGCCTTTCTGCCAAGTCATTTGCTGTCCACCTCGCGGTTTGCGCCATCCTGAAGGAGGCACGGAGAACAACACTCGTCTCGGTAGACGGTATTTCGGCATGCGTAGCACATGACCGAGCCATCGTAGTCGATGATGCTGGATGTTTTCTCGGACTGAGGTGCCTGTAGCACAACCAAATACCCCTTTTATAATCACCTCGTTACTAATACGCTGACACCATCCAAAACCAGCCAGGCTTCTGATGCATCGGTGGTCAAAAACCTGAAGATGCCCCACATCATCTGCCCGCAGAGGTCATGTCTCGCACCCACACAACAAGACAGCCATTACTGTGGCGTGGTACACACGACCCTTAGGATCTAGTGAGATCCGTTTTTGACGCCACAAGCGACACAAATTAGCAAATTTTATTCGAGCCTTTGAGGTTTTTGCACTGACGTCATCAGACGCATTCCAGTGAGAGCCAATTCAACCACCGAGGTATGTAAAATGTTCCACAATCCTCATTGATCCTCCTTGAACCGTAAGGGATATGTCCGGAGACGGCACTTTCTGAAACAGGACTTTGCACTTTTAAGGTGCAAGGTGCATGCCAAAGGATGGTATGATGGTGGTCAGTCTATTCAACAAGGATTGTGCTTCGCTTTGGTCTTCAAAGATGAGGGCTATGTCATCTACTTACTCCAGAATGACAAGGTTCTCGCCAGCAACAATCTGAACACCAAGGTTTTGAAAACCGTCCAGCGTTCACCTCATTACTTTATCACCGATAAATCACAAAAGATTAAAATTTGGAGCGTTCCTTACAGCCGAGTTCAATCACCATACAGTGCTCTCATACTACGCTGGCTCGGCGTGGAATGCGTGCGATACGGTTCTTTTTAGGCCATGATACTCAAAAACATGTTCAGTCTATCTTCCAAAGTGCACGTTCAACCGTGAATGGATAACAAAATTAAAACCTTGTGTTTTTTTAACTTCATCTATTTGTGAGCAGGAGAAGTCGAAGAATGGGGGAGTTTGATGGGATGTTTGAACACAATTTCAGAAAACCAAACCACATTTTCAGAACCCGTCCAGTGAATAACTTAACTTCTTTTGAAATTTGGAACACAAATCAGGGTGAAACTCAAGACAAGACGGTTTCCCATCTCCAGATCAAAGTGAATGAATGAATAGCCGGAAAATCATTTTACAGCTTGATATCTCCGATGCGAATTCACACACAAAACATGCCTATGTGTATAAACCGCTAACTTTACATAGCTAGATTTTAATGCCATGATTGTTTGATACATTTGCCTACCCAGAGATTCCGATGTCCCTGACTAAGACCTTGGCTTAGCAAACACAATTCAGAGGTAGAAAGTTCCGCCTAAACTGTTTCCGTATCCTCGTGCTGATAAAGTTATTCGTTCCACCCCTACTTCCAAATAAAGCTGACCTTCAAAGAAGGGAAACTCATTTTGCTACCCTTAAATTAGGTATTTGAGGAAGTGGTCCTGTACATGGATAGCCTTCTAGTATGCACCTTACATTGAGAAACAACATGTGTTCCCCACCATTGAAAGTTATAGGTTTTTCGCAAAAAAATGACGTCTTTTTTTTCAGGTCCCAGGTGAATTTTCATCCAGCATTTCTCAGAACGTTGTAATTCACGTGTAGGCGGCCAGCTTCATGGAAAATATGCCTTGAAATATTGTCGCTCACTTTCTCGCTCGTTTTTAGAGTCATACGACAAAAATTGGGAAAGCCAATGCTATTCACACAACGTTTGCCCTTCAAAATCGTTCCAAGTCTAGTTACAGCGGGCAAGTTTTGTCGAGGCGAGTCGAGTTTGGTTTTCGTGACTCCGAGTGGTAAAGTGAGTTACTTCAGTGTAATTCAATATCGTGCTGTTCAGCTGGTCATCCACTGGGGCTCTATCGATGGGAACCCATCAGGGGATGGTGAAAATTGTCAAGTCTTAACCGTTTTGCCAAACTTGTGTTCATTGACCACCGGCAGATTTGATTTTCAAGCTGATCATGACCTTTTACTTTACGGATCCAAGAGCGGTGTGGTGGCATTTGACCCGCAACAAAATGTAGAAGTGTTCTATAATGAGGTACGCTCATGGGGCTTGTCTGCTTACACCTTGATTACGTTTCAGTATCGTGATGGAGCCAACTGCATTGGAGTGTTTCCAAATTTGACCTCAAAAGACGAATCTCTTCTAGTTGTTGGAGGCAACTGTTCCCTTGTGGCGTTCAACCGTCTGGGTGCTGAAGTGCTGTGGACAGTCACTGGTGATGTGGTTTCCTCTTTAGCCTCCATCGACGCCGAATTGTCCGTGGAAGAAGCATCACGCGATTTGGTTGTGGGCTCAGAGAACTTTTGCATTAGAATAATTCACAAAGATGCAGTTCAGGACGAGATAACTGAAACCGACGTGAGTTGATTGACAGGGGTGCTAAAATTGAGGAATGCATACAAATTAAGCAGCTTGTTGAAGCGTGTTCGCTGTAAATCGTTTCCCTGTGAATGGGTCTTTCGTTTGATTTTGCGTGTGACTCTTGGGTCGATTCTCTCTGTTTACGGTCGCAACACTGGGTGGTACTTGAAACTAGGAATGGTGTGAGCTCTAAAGTGAGATGAACAGTTGAATATCTTGTGAAAGATCATGTAAACTAAGGAGAAACCGAATGATAACCGACAAGAGACACAGATGGTTGCACAGAGACAGCCAAAAACCTTTTACATACAGACTAACTTAACTTGCGACACAGTTGTAGTCTCTAGCTTATCCGCCGCCAACTTCAGTATTGCTGGATTAAAATCGTACGGAGCAAGAAGCCCAACAAAGGACTAAATGCAATGGGTCTGAAGAGAGTTCACGTTTAATCACGATCTAATGAAATCTATAGGATCACTCCAGAGTGCTGGCTTGTTCTCCGGTAGGTTACTCCAGACTGTTCAACTACGGATATGATATCTAATGTACTCGTTCTAGAACACCGACCAAAGCGGCTCGCTATTACGACTCATTGGTGCTCAGTTGAGTTAAAATGAGAGCTACAAGTTGATGGGGCGATAAATATCATCGGATGAGACAGGAGAGAATTATAAAAGCCATCACCAGCAAACTCAGCTGATCTGGTCAATGTCATCTTCCTGGATGGGGACCTCGAGACGGGCCATGGAAATGGTTAGAGACATTGTCAGACATGGCCCAGCCGCTCTCTCAATGGCGCTGATGCATCCAAGCTATTGCCTTCAATGCACAGCCTTCTTTCCAATCCTTCTCCCTAACAGTCCACCTACGGTGCTGTATTTACGCAATAATTTATCAGTTCCCGCCTCCAATGCACAGCTACCTATCCCACCTCCCCGAATCATCGGTGAACGAAACCGTGGCAGCTACAACCACTGTACGACAAGTACGCAGTTATTACAGCTGATGATGATGATGTTTCCATGAAGTAGAAACTGTGGATTTCTGTTCTATGTTCTCGACCCATCCTGGGTGTGGTAATGGCAGTTTTAACCGCTCAGATGTCTAGGTGTAGTCAACAGAACCTGACATTAGAAAATTATCTTTCAGCCGCAACACCCTTTCGGTGTCTGCCACACGAAGAAAATGCCAGTAATCAGATAAGACAGATTTCGTAAGCCTAGACAGTAGCAGTCGAGAGGCATTTAGTTCAGGGCTTCATAGAGGTCTATAAATGAAAGCGGTCAGAACGCACAGTAGATGTTACCTTTGGATGATCCTAGGATCTTATTGAGATTAGTGTTCTTTCTGTGGCATTTCACTGCAAACTTTGTGGCTCTCTTTTGCCAGTAGTTTAATTGTTCTTACCGAGTGAGTTGACTGCTGTTGAGAGAACCTTGAGCTATGTCGTCAGCTTACACATGGAACTGACGATACTCCGTCAAAATTTACAATAGTCTTGAGATTTGAAAAACGCTTCTATCGACGCAGGTAGATTATGTGCCCTAATCTTCGTGAAAACCCCTTTCTGTAAACTGTCCCTCATTTCTTTTCGTAGGTAGTAACTAACCTGACTTCCCTTGGACAAGGGTACTTCGGTTATGGTCTGCGCAATGGCACCGTTGGTGTGTATAATCGGGCAGTCCGAGTTTGGCGCATCAAGGTGAGAACATATGGTTCCAAGCCGAAACACGAACAGTCCATATATTATATTACCCTTGTTATCATTCAAAGATTTTGGAATTGAGGTACACACATATTTCGTTTTGTTGACTGGAATGAGTTCACACTGTTTTTAAAACTCTTGGTACGGATAACGAATGGGTGCTCTCTCATGGAAGTCAGCTAGCTGACCAGCTTTTAAATGAAGGGCCATCTACCAAGTACAATCGTACTAGATGCGCCAGTTTCATTCACCAAAGATAAGTTGAACGATGGCTAAAGAGGAGTGTGGTGGCTCAACCAATTTGTTATTGTTTGTTTGCCAACCTACGACACCTAGGGTGACGACGTGATGTCAGTTTATCTATCAAGGCCAGAGTCTACACTGCAGCAGTGCGATCCATACTGCCTTATGGTTCAGAGACGTAGCCTCTACCCACTGAAAATATACAGAAAACGTCAATGTTTGATCATCGGTGTCTTCGAGGTATTACGCGGGCCTGGTAGGAACATCGGATCAGCAATTCTTAGGTACGCCAGATGGCCCTAGGAAGAAGGAACTCTCCACTTCATAGGTTACGCCTGTTAGAAAATGCACTTCTCGTGCCAGAGCTCCTTACACCATGCTTTGTGCTGAGTGGAAGTGACTGTGAGGTGGACAGCATGTGGCCAGGCAAAGGAGTATGAAAACACTAACCAGTCAACTTAATCAGATAGACAACTGCCGCCTCCTTGAATCGGGACTCTTGGACTCAATTCATCGATGGTTAATAACACTGACATAAATGGTCCGATCGCGCGGTCATTGGAGCGTAGCTACTCAAATCCTGAACTAACTGAACATGATATCGTCTTGGCCGCATCCCACGTTACAAAGGTCGAAACTGCAAAGTCTGGAACCGATGAGCCCATGGTACACGGTTTATGGCCGATAAATTGATTGATTGATTGCTCGGATGGTAGGAAGTTGCTACTTTGCAAAAGAGGGGTAGTTTTCCCGGTAGGCATATTCACTTACAATTTGAAAAGCAATATATGGTCTTTCTTCTCTCATCGCGGCTCATCATTACTCCATACAGTTCGGTTTGGATCAAGAACCAATTATTCTACTGTCATACGATTTCAAATGCTACCGACCAAGTCACCATCGATTGAAAAACGATGCTCATGAATATGAGCATTTGTTTTAACTTCCTTGTTGTTAGACAGATAGCAAACAGGATGAACACAGTTCATAAAAACGACGGTGCGATTCTGAATATCGATTGAAAATGCAAACCGAATGAGTAACAGCTATTGACTCGATTTGAACGGCCATTTGCTTTTGATCCCAAAGATAAAAATGGGGGAAGCATTTGATCTTTGATCTTATTCTTATACGTTTTACAATGACTGAGTGCCATTGACATTCTAAAGCAGCCTTTCTAGAAGAAATTTTATTTTCCAAAATGTGCTTTAGTCTGAAAGCAAAAGGAAGCTCTTCACAAGCCTTATTCGAGGTTTACTGTAATTCAGATAACGGCCGTTCTTGATGCACATGCAACTGTCTGATATGTTCGATTTGAGTTTGGTGTGATTTTTAGTCCAGCCGGTTTTTGACCGCCTTACACAACCTTTGCACCACTGGGGCATAGTTAGGTGGATTTCGTTAAGTCATCATAGATCCTCGTGGTGGTCACGACTACTGACGAGAAATACGCTTCAAGCTTTATCGGATATTTGTACTTGAGTTATGGTCCAATCCTAAGTGTTTATTAAGACGAGTTCTGTCTTCCTAATTGGGACCCACTGGACGGGTGTACAGAGGTCAAGCACTTGCACTCATGAGCCCTAGGGAATTGGAACAATTCTGTGGGTCTTGTTCCTAGGTCTCTATCCCACATATGCTGCAGAACAGGAGGGCACTATAATGATAAGTTATAAGGTCACCTAGCTATTGAGGCACGCCAGTCCCAAATAATTCGTTTTCGAACAGGCGAAATTAAAACTTTGCCAATCGAAATAAGGTTTACGAGATTGTTTAACTGAGACGACTTCTTACACAGTGAAAAATAGTTATATATCCTCAAAAACCCTTACCTTGTCCGTAACTTATTGCTGTTTATACTGCCAAACGAAATACCCCAAGATGGCATTCCACTCACACAAATTCTCAAGAAAAATCGACTGTCTCTGCCAAAACGAAATACCCCAAGATGTCATTCCACTCACACAAATTCTCAAGAAAAACTGCTCCTGCATTTGCTGGTTGACCTTTTCCCTTTTCTTACCCAAAGTGTAAAAGTAAACCGGTCTCCCTGGTTGCCTACGATATTAATCAAGATGGCTGTTTGGAACTGATTTGCGGCTGGGCCAATGGAAAGGTGAGTAGTTAGATCTGCAGATACCGTATGAACATTCCAGAGGCTGCTTTGCCTTGTTAATATTGGTTTATTTTCGGTCATCCGCAATTTTGGCAAACAAATTGACGACCCCCATTAATGAAGACGGCATTTGAACATTTCAGGAACCAGTGATAAGTTCACCAATAGCTTCCACTATCAACTGAAGAGGAATAGGTCGATGATCGTTTGACATTCTTCGAGGGCGTTCTGTCAGGTTTTGGTATATCTGGGTGAAAGTACAGTGTATACTAGTCGACTGTTTAGGTCCGCTGATTCCCTCCTTGAATTTGCTCAGATCTGTAAGTTTTCAAACTACTTGTCTCAACTAATGTAGGATTCGATTGTTCGAGTTGTTTGATGTGCATGCTTTGGTGGAAATAAACGTACAGATGAAGTGTAAACATTCAAACGACTCTCACGCAATTCACTTTCCCTAAAAATATGGGGAATTTTCGAACTTGTGGTTGGTTCACTTTCTGTCGGCGTTCTTAATTTTCAGTACCTTGTCGCGGTGCATCATGTTGGTGGGATTCACAAAGTCAATAAATAAGCCATATCATAAGCTATGTGGGTGTCACTTGATCAATACAGTTTACATCGGCCCGAAGGAACAACGCAACAATACTCTCAGTACCATCATTCGCTGCATCCAAAAGGACAACTATGATAGACGCAAAACTTGAAAGGAGCATTTTGTGTTTTTAAAGCACTGCTTGGTAGAAGACTGTGTATGGTAATGAGCAGAACAGTTTTGCATCCTGAACTCCTGCTGAGTTGCTTGAATGGGGAATGATCATTGCCCATTGTTGAGACGCAACTCAAGATGACCACTATAGCAGCACTGCTTTAGCTATTTGACTAAACAACGAAGGTCTCTCCGGTTTCCAAGTGTTTCAACGTACATCGTTCCACTTTGGAACACCTGTGGAACATCAAGGCTTGTCGTTTTTCCTAATGCCAGTGGCATTTCTTCCGCTAGATGGGTCTCGAGCACAAGTCAGTATCACTCATTTCGTCGCCGGAATTAAGAAAAATCGTAATTAACTTCTATCATTTTATGGAGAATTTGATCACGCAAAATACATCCGTCGAAGTTGGTCCTATGTGGTTGGATGATTAAATAAGTTAAGCATGCGATTGCTGTCGTCGGGCTTGGTGGGTCAAAAAATCGTCGTTTTTCGTTCAGAAAGTGGTGTAAAAGTTAGATGGGTGTAAATGTATAGTCACAGTACTGCTGAGGCAGCTAATTTACACCTGCTGGACGGCGAGCACTGTCCTTCCTAAGACAGTCTTCGCAGAAAATAAGATCTACGTCCAATTCGGGGGTATGGTTTATTGGAGATCGATTTTTTTGAGATATTATTCTGTCGTCCCGAGTTTCTTTTAAGGTAGTTCGTAGAATCTATTTAGGTAAAAACTATGAACTTATCCACTTGTGTAATGTGAGGGTGCTTGATGGGTATTCGCACAGCCTAAAAACCAAGTGTAAGCCTTGCACGAATCTTTTTCTAGCCCTTATTATTGGGTAGCCTAGATTGAAAGTTGGTCCAACGGCCTCAATACTCTACAGCAATTACTCGCAAAAATGATATTTGAATTTGTGCGTAAGGTCGCAATTTCATTGGACCGTGCTAATAATAACCAATAAACATAAGCTGAAAAGGATAGTTATCACACGGCGTTATGCTCTGATTGGGATAATTTCATGCAGTAATGTGGTATTCTTGATGATCCGGACCGCTCAGCACAACCGACTTTACCGCTTACCGCGAAATAGAGTGGAAGAACATAGAAATCTCGATGGTCTCATCGTTTTGCAACTTCAACGTATTCAGACAAAGGTGCAAGAGTCACGTTCAGTTATTTTACGAGCTTTGAAAGGAAGTACTTGAATAATGGGATGGTAACATGCCCAGAGAAAGCGAAGAATATGGCTTATACATTTCGGAATGCTCCTCGAAGGAGGCAAAACATTACTAATAGAAAATTTTGTCTTGTAGACCGAGGTCTGCACTTGGATTAAGAAGGCCTGCTCACCCTACTGAAAAAACTAGACTACTGCTGAGCCATCAAGTAGTAGGTTGGATAAACAAAATCTTAGCTTACTGCAAGCTAACTATACATTCGCTAATGCATTTTTTCCCAAAGTGCATCTAATATTGTACTAAGCGGTACAGAACGGGTGAAAAGGAGGAACGAATATTTCATTATGAATCTACTTTTTGTTGCCAACTCAGTCTATACCATACCCCCTGTTTGCAAACTTTCACAAGGTGGATGCACGTCTCCGAGCGACCGGCGTTGTGGTATTCAAGACACAGCTGGAGTCACCTATTGCAGGCTTGGTTGTCGTGAGTTCCTCCGTGATCATTAATGGTCCAGGGTGATAAGTGATCACCTTTCGTTTCATTTACCTTAAAGTTGAAGTGTTTGAATGAGAGGTTCAATGATCCATTTCATATATAACGTACTAGTCCAAACATGTGGATTAGCTAAAACACACGGAATGGAAGCATCAGCCTACTGGTGAAACCTCACTCATTAATATTTGATATTAGCTTAGTACCTGCTGCTGCTTCGCTATCAATGTCAGCTGACCAAGTTTGAATAGTGCTCATGCGCACACGCCAACCGTACTCGTCATGTGATTAGCCCATGTTTTAACAGGTCTGACCGACCGAACGAACCGATCACTCGAGTAGGGAAACATAGACCAGTTCGTGTAACTGGTGAACTATGGAGGAGGTCGGTTATCATCATCATCATCATCATCATTGTCAATTGTGGTAACCGCGTACTCGTCGTACAGTGGTTGTAGCTGCCACAGTTTCGTTCACCGATGATTGGGGGGGGGGTAGGTAGCTGCGCATTTCAGACGGTAGATGATAAATTTGTGCATAAATCCAGCACTGTCAATGAACTTTCAATTGGGGGATAGGGAAGGGAGCTATGCATTGAAGACGATAGCTTGGATACATGAGCCTCATTGAGGGCACAACTGGACGATGTCTGACAATGTCTCTAACCATTGATGTGCACCGTCTCGGGGCCTTTATCCAGGAAGACGGCAATGACCAGCGCAGCTGACTTTGCTGGTAAGGCTTTCACACTTCGCTGCACACACACTTCGCTGTTGTGAAGCCAGAATCACACTTTATCACGAGTTCCCGAAAAAAGTCCAGAGAAAAAGAGATGTTGCCCTTAATGCACCATCTAAACCGCTTGTGGCTTGTAAACCTAAGAAACATCGAGTTACTGTCGGCTGATGCCAACAATTTGGGGTTGACAGAAATCGCTGAATGATTGTTAGGCGACGATTTGCTCTCATATAGTAGGACCTACAGCTTTTCCAGAGGATAGATAGATATCCAGAGGTGTGGATAGAGGTAGTGTAAGAAAGCCGCACTGACGTAAAAGAAAGTACTTCAGCTGAAACAGCTGGGTATGGTAAGCGGTTATATAACGGTCCACCTGACCAACCGTTGTAAGCAGAAATCAACCGGAAATGCGACTCAAACAAGTGGTGAGCAGAACCAATAAAAATGATAAGCACATGGCTCACAGGACATTTGGAATGCCACTACAATCCCTTCTGTACGCGTAGGCTAGTGATTCACCACCTTTGACAGCAGCAACATCAGCAATAGGAATATCGTCTGGACTGTTACCTCCGGTGAAGAAGTTCCGCCACATAACAGCCCTCTTATACAGTCCTTCTTTCTTCTGTGCTTCCTTCTATCTACTGACCCTAATTTTCCTCTATTCAAGGCTGACTACGCGAACTACTCCAACATTATTCTGGTATGTTCAGTAGACGGGGAAGGTAAGCCAACTTCTTAGTATTCCTTATAGTTGTCCGTCATATTTAAACCATTCCTTTAAGGTACTGTTTACTTAATAGTAACTACTCATAAGTTTGCTGAAAACTCTTCGATGGCCCACGACCGGGATTCGGCCTTCCCATAGTTCTTAGACGCAATTTCCGAGTTTCCGTCAACCCTATGTTCTACTGGAACCATGGTTGAACTGAGTCTCATAAATACACTCATTTGCATAGCAGTTTGGTTGCGCACTTTCTCCACGTACTTTACACAGAAGGCTTTTCCCAGGAGCTGGTAATTAGATCTATAAGGCTTAATAGAGACTGCGGAACGTAACGTGGAGATTTCTCATTGAATTACCAAGTTTGATTCGAGCATCAATGGCTAAATTGCAAACTAAATCCATTGCGCACGTTTTTTACAAATAGTTGGTGTTTGATCACGTGGTTTTTCGCGTTTTCACTAGCTGTCGGCCGTTTCATCACCAATCCATGAGGCCTCACCACGGCATGGTAACTAGGTATTTGACCTCTCTGTGCTAACGGTTGTGTGGTTTTTAAAGTGCGCAATTTAGTCTCACGATTTTCCGTTTTTTCTGGAACTTCTCCAGGATGTTCAGTTACCAATCAGTTCTGCTTAATCTATAAAGGCAGAAGCATTCACTGAGGTTAAAGAGTTCCGAACAAGCCTATTGAATCGAGTTGGACAGAGGCTCGAGTAGTCCGATGACAAATATGGCGGAATAGCGCTGGGGTGGGATGTTTTCGTCTCTCGTTTGACAAGATGAAAGTGCTCCTCTCCTGGTCCCCGTATGTCTATGCTCTCCACTCACCGCTTCAATGATAGATGTATGATACCGTGTACAAAAACACAACCTCCAGTGCCTATGGGGGTCAGCATTATTCGTGGTCCACTTTGTAGATTACTTTAACCCATGTATTCGGTTTATATAATCATAGTGCCTTTTGCTTTGTATAGTGAACTAAAATATACTATTTCTTACAGTCCAAGGTTATGACCAGTGTGCATCAGAACCAGGGGTTGATTCGGCCGCCACAGAAGAACTTTTACGTGAGCTGAACTTACGAAAGCAGGTGAGGAATTCCGATTTTCACATGATCCGTTTTATTCAGCAAGGTTTCTAATCGATTACACGGACTAATTAGGGGTCACTTCCATGCTAAAGCGGCGAGACCATGCAAACGCTCAACATTTGTAGCAATAAATGGATGAACCAATTAGGATATGTACTAAGAGTTACGTCGGATTGGAAAGTATGAACGGGGATGTGGACAGAGTAGACAAGACTTACCAGTCATCAAAGCAGCAAAACAACTAGACGGAGATTCGCCACTGTGCAAACCATTTGAGTGAATGATAACATTGTCACCATTATCAGATGTAAGAACCGCGTAGTTGTCGTACACTTTTGTTCACCGATAATTTGGGAAGGTGAGGTAGGTAGCTCCGCGTTGGAGACTGGCGCTGACAAATTGGTGCGTAAATACAGCACTATAGGTGTATTTTTAAGTGGGGGGTGGGAAGGGAGTTATGCACTGAAGACAATAGCTTGGATGCACGAGCTCCATTGAGAGCGCGACTGAGCCATTGATGTGTCCATCCAGAGAGGACGATCGATCCTCCTGGACTAATAATCCGTTGAAATAACCAGTCCTTTGACTGAAGTTCACCTTTGGTTGCCTGAGCTTGTTCAAGAATTAGCAAATCATTGTATTTAATGCCATACGGACCAGATTTACACCAGATAAATCTTCCTGTGTATTTTCAGCAAGCATTACTACAGTTGCACCAACAAACTGAAGGTAGTCGGATGGAGCACACTGGTTCATTGGATGTGTTGGATGATGGGCCATGTAAAGTACAAGTACGTCGGTATGTGTTCACTGATATTCCACTTAAAAATCCATCAGAAGACCATGATTCGTTTCGCGTTTCTTAGGCGGTTACGGATGCCTTGCTCGTTGGATTCTGATTACTCGTTTTTCTTAACTGTCTCATCAAGTTGACACTGACATAGCACTTTTTAGTTAAACGGATTAATGTATCTGTATCCCCTTTTCACCCTTCTTGTCATGGGTGGTAAATTAGGAGGAAGGCCTTCGTCGACATGCCAATGGAAGCAAGATCAGTAGCGCGATCGAGGTGTTTGGTGCGCAGAATCTCAGTACACACCATTTATAGTCAGTCAGCAAGCGGATGCAAAATCAGTAGCGCGATCGAGGTGTTTGGTGCGCAGAATCTCAGTACACACCATTTATAGTCATAGCCGTCCAAATAAACGCCGACATATTCGGTTCAATAGTATGGAATACAATCCAGATAAGTGTCTTAAGGTCGATCAGAAGGACATTGAGGCTGTTGTTCATCCGTTCAATCAGTCAAGTCAAATGGAATAAGCACATTCAAGAAAGACCATCATGTCGATCTGTCTCGTAACTGACAGGATGAGTTGCTCGTTGTCGGATAATTTCAACCAAATGTCAGTTGCGTTTCACACTTAGGTGCTTGCTGTCGCATAAACCAACTTGAGCTGGTTAACGCTTATTGTAGAAGGGTTTGGTAAACAATCGGTAGTTTTTAAGTAGGAAATGTTTCGCTTTTGACACAAAGCTGCTTCTGACTAAGTTGGCTATGTCACCTCACGTCAGATTATAAAAGCATAGCTGGAAACTAAATAAGCCGCCTAGAAACGCGGATGAATATCAGGCGTTACTGAAAGATTTGAAAATCTCAGGACATGCACTGGGCACAAAATAGATTTAGAAATTGTTGAGGTTTTGAGACTAGGAGTAAAGTCACGTCACAGAGACCGTCAGCCGGGGCGATATAAATCACCAAGTATCCCAGTGTTAGCAGCATAGAAGGCGTGGAACTGGCGAACGGTTTTGGATCAGTCGAGCTGACACTTGTTGGTGTGCGGTCATCAGAAGGAAGAGTAGTCATCACCTGAAGCCCACTTGACCTCAACCCCCTCATACCAAGCTGTCGGATCACTCACGACCCCACAAAGACCAGAAAAAATCAACCAGTTGCAACCGAGGTGAATCATCAACTGAAGAACCCTGAAGTGGAAGATTAATGAACCAAACCCGATCAGAATTAATTTGAGTCCCCTCCCAATCCACCAAAGCAAGANGCCCCCCACCCCCCCCCACCCCGCAACTAGATTGTCGCAGCCCTCACAACCCAAAAAGATCAACGAACTCTACCAGTGCCACCAGTGACACACCAGTGAATCATCAGTTGAAGCACCCTGAAGTCGAAGATTAAGGAACCAAAACTGATCAGAACCATATTCCTAATGCACTACTCTCAAGGTTGCTGAAAATTCGTCGACAGCCCACTATCGGTTTCGCCCTTCTTGGGGCTCATCGGGTAGGCGCAGTCCCCACGTTTCCGCCAACTTCATGTTCTACTTGAAACCGAATCTCACGAAATTAGCGAAATATACTCATTTGCGAACAAATTTCGTTTTAGCGAGCACGTTCATTTGCCTGGGATAATCACAAAAGGGAGATTCAGCCGGGTTCGAGACGCATAGATACACCGTTACGTTGTTAGAAGAACAACTTTCAGCAAGCCCATTTTTACTCGCTGGAAAAGTGTGTTGACTAGATAAATAAACTTACAGAAAGAAACAGTACCCAATGTCTGTGAGGGGAACCACTTTTTTCGCTCGACAGAGCACATTTCTACCGAAGCTGCTTAGAGCTTCCGGGCATCCCACTGCTTCCTAAACTGCCCTTTCTGAAGTGAAGTTACTGTTTTCGGTGACCATTGAATGCCCTAGTTGAGTGCATGAGGTTGATGAAAACTCACTGACTTACACTGATGAGCCGTCCTTTCCCCAAAAAACTGAAGCATACGGCGGACTGTGGACGCGTATTCAGTGACCCCATTAGTAGTGCGTTCTACCGATCTAATGTACTACGACATCTTCAATATTGCGCCAGCCGAAATGTGAATCCGCTGCTGTCCGGTGCATTTGTTTGAAGGATATCATAAATGAGAGACTCAGTTGTGTCTCTCTCCTTAAAATTATTGTGTTCTCTAAATTAGACGTATTTTGTCAAATATTTTAACTCTCTCAAACCTATCTATCATCGACAGACCTTGAAGTCACAAAGAAACCCGATGCGCACAACAAGTCCGCCCTAAGAGTAATGAAATTTATCTGACTATTGAACCCCATTGTTGCAGAGATTTAGGACACAAGGTCCAGAAAGGAAGGTTATAAATTACTAAGGATGCCCACGCGGAACCTTGATTCGCCCGATCCAGAGTATCGAAACCATAGATGGCTTAGAAAGATTGCGGTGCCCTTTACAACAACCCACCGCATGCACAGAACATACTTTGCTTGTCTTCGTCCGTGAAGTCAACAAGATATTCAGTGATCGAGTGACTGAGTCAGTCAGTCAGCTAGTCAATCAGTCAATCATTCATTCATTCATTCATGCATTCATCCATTCAATCATTCAGTCAGTCAGTTAATCAATCAGATAAGCGGTCAGTACGTGAGCAAGTAAATGAGCAAGAGAGTAAACAGTTGGGCAACTTAATGAGAATTAAGGGTCAGGCCTGGGTCTTCCAAACACAAGGCTGCGAATTTTCACACCGGACTACACAAGCCAATACAACCTCTTCATCGAATTTGGAATTTCTTGCCTCCGGGCTCCGTCTAGAAAAGTTACTCATCACTGGTGAATTCACTGGTGTATCTTAGGAGTCGGTCCTGTTTAAGCTTGTTTGACAAGACCAAGACTAACCTTATGTTGAGGGAATGGTAAGAAGTAAATACTCAGTATAAGGAGGAATTTGCCGTTTACTTCGAATTTGCAACATCTGAGCAAGGTCACCTTTATCGCACCGACAGGCGGATACCTCACTGCAGGTCTACATGGATCATGATGCAGAAGAAAGATGTGTTCAGCTCTATGTGAAGTCTAACAATGGTAAGCCTGGTCCATTCACCGTTTCCACTGCTACTGAAATAGGCATTGACGGTCAATATTATTGTTTCATAGGAGCGATTTGTTGAATTTTTCTTGGTTTTGACTAATAGTGATCAGACTAACCAAAACGCCTTTGCAATCAAAATTCTTGGGGATTTGATAATTGTTCTGTCATCTCCCAAAGCAGCACAAAAACTCTGTTGATGGTATTTGGCTCGAAGGACGCAGGACGTCTTGTGTGCGAATGATTTCTCATGGGTTTCCTGTTTAGTCAGACGATTTAAGGGACCTGCGCAAGCTGACCTAATTTGTGGTAAATGGAGCTGATACCAAACTGTCAAGTTTGGAGAACAACAAGTCTGGAGGAACCCATCAGATGCCTTCAATGAAACCGCCAAGTGCACCAAAAGTCAACTGCCAATCTATCCAACCAATCGCAGAAACCACCGGTAAATACAAAGGAAGTGTATTCGCCGCTTCAAAGAAATGTTTCTGCCTTTGAAAGAATCGAATCTGTGAGGATGCAATTAAGCATCACTTAAGCTTGGATCAGGTGATATACGCCCAGTACCTTCCCACAGAACGTCGATCGTCGACTTGACGACTTCACCGTGAGCGTAAGGCTCCTTCTTGTCCGTTGAACAGCGGATCCAAATCACTTCTCGGTCAGCCGTTTAACATATTTTGATCCTGTAATCACTAAGCGTGATTGTCCCAGTTACGACTTGGGTGACGCAATTATTTGATCCATCTCTATTAATCTTAGTTAGGCTTCTACCCACACCCGAGTTCTCGGTAATACTTGACAGTTTGCCGACGTGAAGTGAATCCGAAACCACCCTCATAAGCCATCTAAAATAGTCATCGCATGCTCCATTCTAAGAAGACACATTTCGTCTAGCACTCGAAATTAAACAACACGATCTTTAGCTGTCATTAATACTGTTGTTGGTGTTTTGCCCAGATATTCTCACAATTTTATCCGTGCATTTGCTTTCTCAACATTTCCAGAGACTCCTCTACGATGTCTACTACTGTTTGGTGAAGGATTGTTTCCGGAATGTGAGAGTCGCATCATGTGAGTGACCTTTTTCTTCTGTAACTGACAACAGTAATTATTCGAAGTGCGGTCTAATCACCGGAAATAATTAGTTTGTTCACGTTCAACCCAAATCCCGATCGCATTGTTACTCCGGGGAGTGGTTTCATCTCAATCAACGAATGGAATTGGGTAATAAGCATTCCGATCATTTAGGGACTTCCAGGCCTACCGCTTGGGAGTTTAAAGACGGTAGAGTTGCTCACAGCCATTCAGCCATGTCATCCAAGGTGAGATAATATAAAAAAACTCAAATTGCACGAAAACACCATAAATGAGAGATTCACTCGGGTTTCGGGTGAGTCTCTCGAGGAATCAAATTTGTCTGCAAATAAGTAAGTTTCGCTATTTTCGTGCAAGTTGGTTTCAAGTAGGACATAAACTTGATAGAAACTCGGGGGCTGCGCCCACCTGATGAACTCCAAGGAGGACAAAATCGGTCGTGGGCTGTCGAAGACTTTCCGGCAAGCTAGCGTCTATATGTTGTTTTCGTTAGGAGAATTTCGACAGTGAGAAAATGAACAGAAGAGTCCCACAACTCAGGAATGGAAGTAAATTTCAAATAGAAGACGAATCGAAACGCATACACATACATATCTGCCAAGTGGGGGGGGGGGGCTGGAAAGAGGACTTACTCCTAACACGACGGCATGGTTTGAATACCAAACTATATAATGTATTTGAGGGTGGGCATCTCGTTTTTCAGTCCGTCCATACTTTCTTTTCTCATGGGTCAGATGCAATTCATCTTGCAAGATGTGCTTTTAACATGGTTTCGTGCAGCTCCAACCCACGAACAAAGTGAAAAACTAACGCGCTTTGACATGCTCGTTCCTCTTTGAGAGTGACCTTCATTCTCTGCTGCACATTTTGAAGTCCATCATTCTTGGATTTACTCCACCTACACATCGCGGTGCACTGGTCATTAGACGGTAATCACGACTACAGATTAACTGAGCACTGGCGGACTTCCACAATTTCTAAAAGTAGTTTAAAGCGTGGAAAGACGGGCAGAATCGGTTTCGCCGGGTTTAAGGCCAATCCCACGCGCGATCTTAATGCGCAGCTCGATGGAAGCTCATGCCATCTTAAAGTAACTGGTTGTGTAACGAGCAGTCATCGTTTGTACAAATAAGGATCTGTCGATAGTCCATGGCGATAAATTTTCCTTGTTTAATGACAGCACTAGAAAACTTGTTATGCAGAAAATAAATAAGGGCCGGATTCAAGTTTAAAAGCGTAGTTAAATTATGACTTGGTTACTTGTTTTTCGGTTTCTGAATCGGCCCAGTTAGCTGTGCCACCCGTTCAGTTGACGATTCAAACGAGACACGAGGGATGAAATACTAACGAGATTCCCAAGCCTAGACAGGAGAGTTTGAAAGGCTACTGAAGGGTTCGGAACGGAGACCTTTTAATTGCTGAACCCTGACTTCATAAAAAATGGACCTGGAGGAAAGTTCGATCTTTACTGGCTTCGTGCGTCTAGCTTGCGCCTCTATTCGACGGTTCGCCCCCTCCCGGTCGGTTCATACTCTTGGGCAAGTCTTGGGCAGTTAAAATTACCGCAGAAGCAGTCCATGGGCTTTTTCTGAATATTGTCGTCATTATTATCAATATCGCAAGGGTTATGTTGTTCTACTTACTGTAACTTACTGAATTCACTTGACTGCCATTTATAGGCGAATTCGGTGGCCTAATTTAGCACAGATTAATATTGGATGGGTGCACTGGTCTGAATTTCAGTGTATTCAATGAATTCTTATCCTCTTGGGGAATGTAAATAGTTGTCTTCTATGCCGAGACCTCCGCACTTCAGTGAAATTATTTTGGGAGGCTGCAACTTGGTGTTATTCTGCTTGGCATTTTGTAAGTCAAGCAAAATTTAACTGACCATGCGTGTCACGGTTTCCATTTTCTCTTCTTTAGTTACCCTCGAGAAAGTGCTACTTTCCCCTCCGGTTACGTGGTGCAATTGAGGCCTCCAAGAAACCTGCCGGTTGATTTATTCGTTAAAGCTTACGCCATTCCTGCGGTGCGAAGGTATCCCATGCACTGTTTGTAGTTTCGACGATTTCTTTTCGTTTCTGAATTTCTGGATTATGTTTCCTTACCCACTTTCTCACTGGCACACTGGCTGACGTTCAACTTAAGATTCCACCGGTACCCTTAATTCCCGTATAAACTACGCGAGTACCCATCTGCAGTGTTTCTCTGTACAACGACCACCCAGTTACTCACATCTGATGATCAGTTTGTTTTCAATCCATGTAGATTGATTTTGTTTTGCATTGCCCACAAAATATAAAATTTTACAGATTTGACAATTTAAATTTTACTTTAATTTAAGTCCACAGCGACTAAATGTTTGCCTAACAGTGTACGTGTACACTTGGCGAAAAACGTATGGATACGATACACAATTTCAGCAGCGACCAGATTCAACCGGCTTTGATCAGAGGTCATTGCGTAGAATAAGGAGACCAAATTTAAGGTTAGATTTAACTTTGAGTCAAACGTTCCGCATACGTAAACCTGGCTTTTGATAACCCACTTGCTCATCTATGGAGCCTCTGAGGTTGACCCGGGTTTTACAGTCCCCTGTTAAACTTCCAACAGTCCTCTCATCGTGCTATGTGCCACGTACCGTCAGATTTATTTTTACTGTATAAAGTACATTTGGTTCCGAAGAGGTGTTACTAATGTGTAATCTACGTTCTTTTGCAGCATTCTGAACAGATACTGTTGTGGACACCATACTACGCTGGTGTATTGAGTGAGACGCTCCTCATTCTGTCACGAAGAGACTGGACTTTACCGTTCTGTGACGGTTTGCGCACTTCAGTGATCCATCGAGCTATACTGGGGTGTGTGCCCCTGACATTCACAGGGTCTCTCATACCAGGTTGTTCAAAGTTTAGAGGTCTGACGAACACAGTCTCCTATCCCTTCAGGTTGGGCGTTGGATCATGTGTCGAATTGTTCCGCAGAAATGGTATTGCATTTGCACTTCCCGCCAAAGGCTTTGGTTGAGGACCCTAATTGTCCTCCTGTCTAGGTGTGGGCGCGCTGGCAGTATCCCAGCCCTCATACAACCATGACATTCACAACGATGCTCCTCGTTTATCATATTCCTATGACACATTAATGGGTCTTACAATTGAAGATGCATGCAATCCGTGTCGCTTAACTAACACCGTGACTCATTACAGACTCTCGAAAAGCTGGTGAGAGGATCACATGATCACCACATGATCACTTAGCCTGATCTCTGAGACATGAGTTCCGATGATGAATGGGGAACAGCTGACAACAAGGTGTGATCGATCTGGTGACCTGATAGTGCTGCCATGCATGACCTTTGTTATTATCGTTCGCAAGCCGGGTGATTTCAGGGAAACCGCCTTGAAATCGGGAATGCGCAAATTCCATCACTGTGGTCTTCATATGCTTTCAGATTCAGTTAATGTGATTTGCTTCGTGGTGCACCGACGCATACTACTGATGAAACGCTCGAGTAGTATCCGGTAAGGTTGTTTAGACTGCCATATGTGTTTCTAAGGGAAGGCTAGCTTGGAAATTACTTATTTTTTTGCGGACTTTATTCATTGTGTTTTGGAAATAAACCTCTGAAGGCTCTTTGAGGATGGCGATCTTTTCTTTTATTGCAAATGAGATTTCTAATTTCGTGTCTGATAGTTTTTAACTTCTTGGTTCCGCTGTCCGCACTCCAAGACGCTTCCTCTTTCAATAGTACTTGGCACACCGAATAACTCAGACTTGGTATATTGGACTGTCTTGACTGAGGGTACTGGCGTGTACCCTATGGCTAGTAACCTGTAACCACGTTGCACTCCATGTCACCCCTGGTGGTACCTATGTTTTTGCATTTGTTCATCGAAACAAACACTGGCGACGTCTCCCTTTTCATATATAAGTCACGTGAGTTTTTTCTGTCTACCATCCGTTGATGTTTTTTTTGTTTTTTTACAGTACGGAACAGTCTTTGTTTCATGTCCTCGGTGCTACTGTTCTCCTACCGCGGTTTTCCATGTATCGATTGATAAACGAAGATGAAGCAGTCGAACTTTCAAAACCAGTCGGTGGAGTGCAGTTTTTTCTCAGTGATCGACCGCAGCGTGTAAGTTTTGTATGGACATTTCTTCTGCACCTGGGAAAGTTTGGTTTAACACCGCTGTCCAAATAAATGAGGCCTTGAGAAAGCTAAAACTGAAAGTGATTCGTTGTGGTTCCTGATGCGTTCCGGGTTAAGTTTTACGGTTATCCCAACCGGTGAAATAACATTTTTGAGTCCCCGTGCTATTCATTTTCAACAAGATGGTTCGTGTTGAAGTTTTCCCAACAGTCGGTTATTTCGCTGAGCTGAGCAATTCGATGGTGAACGTTACATCACATATCGAAAAGATATCATCAATGCGTTGTTAGAGAGTGTAGTGGTGGGTAGTGATTTGTAGTGTTTGGTGGTTGTGCCAACGCACTTGTGATGTTACCTCGACTGGCACTAAAAAGTTTGAAAACAAATTACTCAGCTCAGCGAACAAACCAACGACCATATACGCTACCTGAACGACCAGCATTTTTCTCTATAGATATACAGGTTCCCTGGTCGGCAATGATACCAAGTTCAATATTTTCGAAGCACTTATTGCTTAAAATGTTCGAACAAGTCGGTAAGATCCTCGGATGAGTCCTGATCAACTGGCATCGTACCACTGAACTCAATTGTGCGCACTGTCGAAATCGCCTCATGGATGACTTCAAAAATTGTGTGTTTATAGTCGAAAACGTCCTGGGTTTTTACTAGAACTGGCCCCAAAATTAAAAGTACACCGTCACTATTGCTGACTAATGAAAGTAGATTACTTTCACTGGCCTATGTTAAGTATGCAAGTCGTGAGAAACTCTCCTTACAACTACTTGAGTACTCAAAGACGTTACATAACTGCCAGAACCTCATACTTATTGAATCATCTAACACCTAGGCTTAGCATTTTCTGGGATAATGTCGATGAAAAAGTTCGATAAGGTCGAGTATTCCGTTTTTGATATTTTGAATGGGCAGCTGCGTTCGTCCGCACTAGGTCACATGACCAAATGCGACTGTATTTGACTGCCGTCGACTCTAGTTGAATGTAATAACTCCACTTCATTGCCAGAGTTGAACCGTGGAACATATTCACACGATATCAACTCGCCTGCTTCAAAACAACCTCAAGCGGGAGCCGTGAAATTTACTAGGGATTCACACATTAATATTGACGATATTTTGGTTCGGACGCCGATGAAGAAAAGGTATGGTGGCATAGTTGTTAAAACTTGTTTTTTTGCTGATCTCATGGAAAAGTAGAACCAGATACTTCCTTGCTTTGCTCACCAACAGCTCATCGGATGGATTCAAGGAAATTTCATTGTCAATGAAGAACCACGCATCAACAAAGGCGGTAACCTGATCGTATGCTTCCAGGCCTTGCGACAATTCGATGACCCTGTTCCACAGAATGGAGTTGACGGAGAAGGGATTCTGTCCAATCTGAGTGCCAAATCAAGTCCTACCATATGGATCAGAATGTCCGCTAAAGGAGAGGTGATTACTTTTAAATATGTGCCTACTTGATCTGTGTACTGAGATTAAAGAGTGGGTGATCGACGTGAGCTTCAAATTTCCAAGGTCCAGTGAATCGGGATACGGTGTGGGATTCTTTGATTTTCCCACAATTTTGGCGGTCTGAAATATTTTCCCTATTTCTGACTCTGGTTGATGCCGTTTATGAGTGAATAAAAATCAACTGCTTGTTATTGTGCTGGACAAAAGCACAAAAATTCCACTCTGTTTGCATGAAATAAACTACTTAGTTTACAGCCCTCAGGTTCGTCATTTGTTGAAACACTTGCTATCTGCATGGATTTTATGTGACTGTTCGGTGAACACTACTCTCCGTCATCTGACTTATCGATTTTACAGCACAGACGGTCCCTCACGTTACTGATCCTTCTCACAGAAGGTCGCGCACCAGAAAGAAGTGTGCTCATACACCACGCCTGACGAATTCGGACCACCTAAGCATTGCATGTGTTCTCATCAGTATCAGGTTATTAACAATCAGAAAACAGAATGTTTGAGGTCCACAAAATACGGAACGGTCGCGCAGCTACAAGATAACAGATCAGTTCATTTCTCTCTGTCTTTCTGTTTCAGTCAGCATTTTGACAGTCACTGTTCAACTCGGTACTAGTGCTCTCATATCCCCTGTTGGCCTCCTACCTGTTTCAGTACTGAAGCCGCATAGGTGTACTTCTGAAACCGTATATTTTGTGTTCTTGTATGCTGTAAACGATGCAGCATTCCGATAAGACTTACAACACGAATCGGAGAGGTCAAGTCATGGATTCACTTTTACGTTAAACTACAAGTCTTAGTGGTGAATTTTGTCTGTTTCTCTTCGAATCCGCTGTTGTTAGATAGCTCCAAAAGCGTTTTGTTTTTGGATCCATTCCACTGACCATGGAAACACAGAGAAATACTCACAGAATAATTTGTGACTACTGTTGTATTAAGCCTAATCTGCCTTGCTTCCTTATATCTCTAGGTTACTATGCAGCTGGACGACATTGAAACAGCTTCGGACATGATTCAGTCTATCGCAAAACAGTTCAACCTTACCAACTTGTCCAGCACCTGTAACTTCCCGATGGCTTTTGCTCAGTTATCGCATGCTATCCAGGCGGTAAGTAACCAACAGGAAGCACTGATTCGGCTCAATGACTATGTTAGTATAAAAACGGAGGCCCGTAAAATTCAAATAGGGTTAGGCCGATGCTGATTCTTCATAGGTGAGTTGTAACAAGGAATAGCGAGCCAATTCTCCCAGCGAGTTCACCAGCTGCTCTAGTCAGAATTGTCAAACTTGAACGACGGAAGCTTGTGCCTGCCCACCGGCCACCTACTGCAGTCACGCCATTAAACTAAAACTTATTATAATTTCTAATTTTCGTCCAATCCACACTTGGTTTCTGCAATTTCTCCGGCCATCCGCTACATGTTGACATTGGCCTGCTGTCAACTACCTTCGGATTCACAAAGACTATGAAAGTATATTCATCATCATCATCATCCTCATCATCATCATCATCATCATCATCATCATCATCATCATCATCATCATCATCATCATCATCATCATCATCATCATCATCCACAGCTGTAATAACCGCGTACTAGTCATACGGTGGTTGTAGCTACCACAGTTTCGTTCACTGATGATTTGGGGGGGGGGTTGGGTAGCTGCGCATTGCAGGCGGAAGATAATAAATTGGTGCATAAGTCCAGCACTGTCAGTAGGCTGTCAAGTGGGGGTGTTGGAAAGGAACATTGATGGCAATAGCTTGGATGCGCGAGCGCCATTGAGGGCGCGACTGGGCCATGTCTGACAATGTCTCTTTCACTTTTTGTTTGACTCCATGCCCTTAACCTGCTTCACCTGAATGGTGAACTGCGTACGACGAGGTATTTGTTTAGTTTTTTCCGTGTGAACTGAACTCAGCCAGATGCGAAAATTGTTTCATCTCCTACACCGAGGACTTTGCAGGTTTATTGATGTGCCCTAAGTTGGAAGCTGAATGAAAAGCTGAAAAGAAAGCTGTCACTGGTTTCCTCAGCTTTGAGTTTACCTGTCAGTTCTACAAAGCTTGTTCTTTATTGTTCCAGGCAGAAGCTCATAGTGCAACACGTGAACAGATTGTTGCTGATTTGGCCGAGAAGATGGAACAGTTGAAAGTGACTCTGGTGAAGGCCGAAGGTCACCGGTTGACGTGTAACTGGTGAGTCTGTTATAGGTGCTACTGGCTGCAAAGCCATGGTATGTTACGATGCAAAAAGCGACTGGCTGGAAGCAAATTTTTGGCTTCCTGGCTTTCGGTAACTCACACATGCGGGAGAAACTCCTGTCGTACAGTCACCCAAGCTTTTTCTGGATGTTGGAGTTTAGCCCCAAGAATATAGTAGGCAAGTAGGGTAATTTTTTAAGCAGTTTGTTTTATGAAACCATGCTCATGCGATTTGAAAATGTAGACAAAGGCTATTACATTTGCTACTGGTCGATGTCTATCAGACGAAGGTTGTGCAACAAAAGGAGGCGCTAAAGAATGATCACCAACATTCACATGCTTTCAAACGAAAAGTACGCAAGTTCGGCCTGTGAATGACTTGTCAATGATTAGTAGACGACGCGAATAAACAGACTGATGATTAGATAAGTTCACTGCATCGGAGTAGATCCTATTCCACTGTGTGCCGACTCACAAAGGGCCAGTTTTTTTTGTCACCGCGCTTGGTTGACCTACCCTGTGACACTGATACTGACAGCAAGAGCGCCACTGACATCAATTAGCCGTCATTTATTGCAACGTCTCCAGCCAAGCACAGATAGGGTCACGGGGACCCATACCTGATAGGAGTGGTGCTGCACGTACCAAAATATGCCCGCAAAATCTAGAGATCTGTAATCCAAGCTCAGGATTTCATTGTAATAGAGGCGGAAAATCAATAGAGAACCAAGATCAGTTCATCCAAAATCCTGCAACAGCTCGCTTCTTCTGGTCTGAAATAGCGTATCTTCCCAGACATCTTGTGTTCAGGCACCCTTACGATGATAGAACATAATATGTTTCAGATCAGAATCCAAGTGAATTGCTAGATGTGTGACAGGTGGGGGAATGATTAAGTTACCCGAAACGCGAGACACTTGTATCGGCAACCACACACTATATCACAACGTATCCCCTGACCGCGTTAGCAGTCGAATGAGCAGTAAACTCAGTATGGCATCAGGGCAAAGAAACATGCTGGTTGAAATGTCTAGGAATGTAAGCTTTTGTCCCGTCGTCGGGATGGTCCAATATTGCCCTCTGTTTGCATGAAGCTCTCTTTGGGGTGGTTGGCAAACCAAACAGAACATTTATTTAGGTAAATATAACGTTTGGCTCGGCTTTTCCGGTGTCAGAAATCAAGCAAGGCGGTTTGCCTTCAGTCGGACATTAATTTAACTCCTAAAGATGTAGGGTTAACTCCCCTCTGTATTCTGCCCGACACCCAACGACAAAGTATCACTCCAATACGATACAAACAGTTGTAATTGGCTACAGTTATAAACGTTTTGCTATCGATGTACTACTGATAAATTCTGATACATCTTTGATGAACCCGAACAAGGATGCGCGTAACGCCCCCTTCTGAATCGCGACACTCTTACTAGAGTGAGCCAGTGTATCCATTAATCCTGTACATGAGTACATGACAAGTTATTTACTAAAAATGAAATCTGCAACATTTTTCTTCACCCTCAGGGCCTCTGCAAAAGAGATGTACACCGAACTGCTTCATGCCAACCGCCAGCTATTGGCTAGTTTCAATTCAAGGTCAAGCGAATATCAGCTGTTGACGGATTACCAGAAACGCATCAATCAACTGATTGAGCAAGCTAGTTCGCTAAGAGGTAGGTGTTGTACTTTTGCCAAACATGTTTGTAAATACGGGATGAATGGACTTTATCAACGTGGACACAGAAAGAATAACATCTTGGTTGGAAGTGACCCAGAGTTGTCTATACGTGTAAACTCCCAAGTTCGTAGTTCGAAACGCAGTCACATAATGACTGCAAATTTTTCAACTGACAGAAAACCAAGCGTCAATGGAACATATACGCTTTTGGCAGATTCACGTATTCAATGGTTCATGCACTTATTATCTTGCTTGACCGAGATAAGTATTCAAAGTTCAAGCGAACTTCAAACATGCCCCTGCCTATAAACTACCCTGCTTCCACGACGTAACTTGACTATGATCTCTGGCTGTTACCAGCCTAGTAAACGCTTCAAGCTGGAGATACTTACTCAACCGTTGTCTGCCAAACCAATGCGAGTGGAGAATTCTAGTTATGTGTACAAGTTGAGATGCTGCCTCGGAATCAAAAGCTCTTGGGCAAAACCAATACTTTGTTGTTGTTCCTACTGTAGAATAGCTTAGATTTTTCGATACGATACAATCAGTCTGCTTAGAATTCTTCGAGGGACCTTGGGTTTACAATCGGTAATACATCAACCAACACCAATATTGATGGATTTACCTGTGTCTCACGTTGATGCCATCTTCTCTGATAACTTAAAATCTATCTTTACGATTGCTGAGATCGTTTATGGGGACGAGCATGGACAAAAACACTGCCTGTTTGTCCTCTAAAGTACATCTGAAGAACCGATAAGTAGCTGCCTAGAAGGATTTCATGGCATGTTTCAGAGAATTTGATATGAAAAAGCTCTGTAACTCTCATCTGGCTTGATTTCAATGGACTTAAATTAGCATGAGGCATTTCAAAAAGTTTTTCAGTAAGACTTCTTAATTCTTGATTTTATACCGCATTTCTCATCCCCCTTTTGGTCGCAAACTAGTTGGAAAGTACAAAACACATGTCGTTTCTTTGTGCCGAGAAGCACTGCAGAAGCAAAGCGTGGAAAAACTGCTCAAGATTATTCGCACTGGACGAGAATGATCACAACTCCGGGTTTCAGTTCAATTCTCCCCCGTCGAATGCTTTTTATTCCTCCGCATTTCCAATTGTACAGATTTTATTGTACCCGCATATCTCATTCGTCAATTATGGAGGTCCTTTTTGAATGACTCGTTCCCTCAATCCAAGGAACTACATTTGTGCTGCCACCCACCATATTTGTAACGGTGTTGTGATTACGTCGAAGGAAAACCATACAAAAGGGACTGCAAACATGCTGTGGATGACTTCCGTTTGTGAGCATAATAGGGTAATATCATCTTAGCAGTGAAGGCTCCCTTGTTAGAACAAGCAGAAGACCGGGGGGAGGACATCTGCCGGCTACAAGACGCTAAGAAAAGAAAAACTGAAGGAAGCGTCTTCACGAATTTAATTCAGTAAAACGCAGAAAGTGCAGCTGTGTTGCGCCTCGGAAGAAATTTCAAAGGAATAGGTTTAAACTTTATCTAGGATAGATACAAAACTAATAGGCTTTGTAACACGCAATATCCTCGGGGCCCATCAGTACACGAGGCAGCTGAGAAATTTACTTTTTTACAGATATCTTGAGCCAAATCGCGGAAAATTACTTGGAAACGCATTTCTAACCATTCGTTTTCCACTCAGAAGATCAATAGCCAATATGTGCGTTTCCTCTGTCTATCGTGCGCAAGCTGATGAGACTCGAGTCAACCAATAAAAACAACCAACAAGCAGAAATGTTTTGAATTCACTAAATCAAGTGAAATTCATACTATCTATGCACCACGAATTCTCCAGTAGGCCAGGTCAACTGCAGTGTCTGCCTTTGATTCACAGTTGAAGCACAGTGGAGGAACATCAAATTACCGCGAATCTATAAAATATTATGCACATGGCGTCTTTTGCATCATATCACAATTATTATGCTGCGAAATTACCTTTGTTGCTTTGGCGAATTCAACAGAGGTTAAATACCATTTTCACGCAAAATGTGCTACGCAAGAGTCAATTTGACACACATCTGTGGAGCAATTGGATAAAACCCATTAAGAGCGTAAAGGATATGCTTTTTCAAAATATGCTGCGTAAATTAAAAGCAAGTCATGTATACTGTTCTATGTCTAGGCCAACGAAATATATCATTAACGAAGAGGCTACTTTCCTGAAAATTGCTTGTCGCTTTATGTTATTAGTTCGATTATTCTAAGTAAACCACTTACTGTATTCAGGTACGTCGACGGCGCTGTGCTGTCTTGCAGTCAAGCTACTTGCCTTGTGTGGATTCACAGTCATAGCAAGCCGATTGATGATGGTTCCTTTTTCCTTAAAAATCGCTGAACCAATGCCTTGCGGGTGCTCAGATAAGCACTAAGAACTTCAATTAAACCTCAATCAAATTACCAATAACATGTTGTTTTGTCTTATTTTGTACTTAGACATTCCTCGATTGCACTCAAGGCTTGTCCCCTTCACTTTAGTCATGTCACCTTACTATGCGTCAATTCACGCATTCGTCGGGGGTTCGAAATTCTGCTAGGTTCTTGAACATTGCTCTTTTTTTATTACTTCATTCTTACTAGAAAATAACAAAGTGATTTTGAGGTCAGTAAAGTGTTACCACCTTTTTCAGACCTTCCAGGGACATTTGGGTAATTATGTTGTCCAAAACTATCAGACGCCTGCTTCTCAAAACGCCTAGGTTTGTCCAAAAAGACTATCATATTAGTAGTTACAGGTATTTCACGCATTTGCTTTATTACCCGTTTTCCTCACCGGTGTTTCACCAACAGCCATAAACAGGTTCATTTCCACAAATTTTGGTTTCCAAGCAACCTGTATATGGGTCTTCTTATCACAAACAGTGTCCATGATAGTAAACACAATTTTTAGTTAGCGCGATTCAAAGGAGATTTTTTTGGTTTATTACACTAGGTGAGTCAACAATTCCGTCAGTCTTGAACATTCCACTAACGAGAGAAACAACATTTACCTAATGCACGGATGCTAGGAGAATGCGGATGCAAATTCTGTGCCCTACCGCCATCGTTAGGAACTGAATCAGAAGGATTTATTTGAAGACCTTTTCCCGCACGTGTTTATTGACCTAAACCCAAGAACGCGACGCACGCAACGTTGCTTGTTGCGTTTGGGGCTCAAACAATGTCTTGTTTTGGAGCTCCAATCGGTGCAACACTACTTTGTGATGCACTCGATTTCCGTCCCGAAGAGTTTTCGGGCGATTTCGGCCATGTGTTAGTTTCTTGCCGCTGAGCTGAACTGTCTAAATGGATTACGATAGGTGGTCCAAATCGAGAGGACATCAATCGATGTTTTATTAATTTCATATCAACGTCCGCAATTTTGGGGAAGCCGCCCAAATCAGGCGGACGAATTTGATTTTAGATAGCTGCGTACCATACTAGGCCAGCACGCCCATAAACAGGAGATAGATGCCAGAAGTCTCCACTATATTAAGCCGTATTATTACAAAAATTAAAATACTGAAAGAAATCTGGACTCTTTTGCAACAAACAACTCTGTTTTGTCGTTTCCGTTTAGAACCAAAATCAAAATGTTTTGCAAAATGGACAGTTGAAATCGCATAATGCCCACCCCGTCGGTCGTTATTTACGCAGACGTAGAAACACTGGTGGCTGGATAATTTGTTTTCCACATTCGGTGCCATAATATTTCTTTGATTAAGAGCGAAATTCTCAAAACCCGGATCAATTCCGTATAATAGTGCCTATACTGCGGATTATGACGACTGTTTACCGGAGCAGAGTTCAAAAGCAGGCGACAGGATAGTAAATATTGCACCGAATATTTGACTTATTTGTGCCTGAATTCCAATACCGGATGATCCGTATTGCAGGCGAGCGTCCTGCTGAGGTGTCCAATTTGCTGACCGTGCATTTGGATAGCTCATTTACCCTCATGCTTTTGTTGTGAATAGTTGTCTTTTTACATCTAATAAACAATCTTTAGCTCATTTACCCTCATGCTTTTACTGTGAATAGCTGTCTTTTACTTCTAATAAACAATCGTCATATTCACATTCTGCTGCTGGATGAGATCAAAAATTGCTTGCTATGAAATTCGGCGTCGTTTTTACAGTCTGCTGCAAGAGGTTGCGAAATGTTTACAGTTTTATATGTTCTATATGAAGCCGCAGGAATGAAAGCCACATTGTTTGAAAGTAAGCGTTCATTGAAACAAACTGGCTTCGTTTGGTGAAACGTCCGAGCCAGTACGCTTACAAAACTTCACAGGTTCGGCGTAGCTAGCGCGTTCATCACAAGGACATCACAATACTAAAACCGCGGCAAATTAAAATGTTTGTCTAAATGTCGCCCAAAATTGATTTACGGACACTAAACAGTGAACATACAACGGTGCATTGTAACATTAAGCGGCGAATCTCAGCGCGGCCGACTGCGGAAAAAACGTAATTGGATTCTTGCCCAAATGCTTACTCAAGCCTTTAACCACAAAACCTGGACGGGCAAATCGCAACAATCGTGTTGCAAATGGAAAACTAAAGGTATTTTCTGTTTTTTCCAGAATGCCACAGCACTTTTATGCGGTTTCCACTTCTAATCTAAGCTTTGTGAAACCATTTCGTTTTGGCTTCACGAAATGCTTCTGGTGAAGTCTAATCAGCGTCGCCCCGGTGGTTGTCTTACTCAGTGTTTGTGCCGTAATTTGCGGATTTTCTCGCTGTGTGACTTTAAGCACTTCGCCACAGAACGGTTGTGCTTCCTAATCCTGAATTGACTCGGACCCCGACTAGTGCTGAATCGCAAAGAGGAGCACCCACCAGCGGGAGCATCCACCAGCGTGACAGATGTGATGGTCAATTGAATTCTATGTGGAAATTTACTCCACAGTCTTAGATTTCTCGAATTCGTGCATTTAGCTCATGTGTTTCACGTACGTTACCACAAGCTTGTTCGCTCACTTTTTGTCTGCTTCTTGAAATATGATGTCACACTCTAGTTACTGCACCCTCATCCAGATGCACTTTTACCGGTTTGTCTGGAGTTCATAAAGATTGGAAGTGCGCATATCTTTCATTCATCCTGATTTGCTGTT